ATTATTTTGATCTAGTCGTCTGATATATATTATTTCTTTTTTCCATATCAAAAAGTACAGGTGCATTATGAAGGACGATGGCCAACATTTGAAAAGTTCAGCCCGGAAGTCCATGTTCTCATAGAGTTTTATTGGCCTTCAATTTATTTATATACGACCGAGATTATTTCCTCTCCTGTTGGTGATTCGCAATTGCAATCGTACTCAAAATGTTTTCCAGTCTAGAATGCTGGACGGTTTTTTCTAGTAGCACTCACCATATTACTGGTTGGGCTGGCTCCGCTGTCTATTAAGGATAAGCTTTTCAAGCCCTTCGGTCCGACGCCATCTGAAAATAATTCCTTTTTCCACCAATTGATTGGCCCTCCTCGATTTACACCATCCATCACAAAGTTTAGCGAAATATATGTCAACTTGACGAGGTTGAGCAAATCGCGTTCTAGATAGACGAAGATTTTCGCTTTTATGGTGATTTCGTCACGACTGCGCAAAAGTTTTGTCAATTGGAAGAATCCATTTCTAGCTACCGTTATCCATTTTGTAATTTTAGACAACAGGTGATCTTTGATGGTCTCAATAAGTTTCCATCTTTATTACACTCTCTTTAACTCGTTCACTTTGGTCTCAGCCTTATTTGCCAGAATATAAAGTAAGGCGAAAAGTTTCACTGAAGTCTGCATTGATTCCAAGGCAAAATCGTCGCTTCGACACTTCGTCTATTATCTGTTGTAAACGATATCATAAACATTTAATTTATTCTTAAACTATTAAAAACTGTTTACGGAAGGAGTAAAGATGTCGTTAGATTAGTCCAGGGATCAAAAGCTCTAATTAAATTTAGTTTTACTTTACTCGTTTTTATTGGCACTGATCAGTTGCTTGTATGGTAACAATAAATGTTACCATTATAAGTGGCCACATTTAAAAGATATTCTATGCAAAAAATTGGCAGGGTATTATTTCTTTTCATTTCCTGTATGTTTTATTTTACGACATATCATATAAAATGTCTGTAATCTTTATGTTGGCGTCTAATTTTTTTAAGAGATTTGTCGTTAATTCTCGATCGTGTCGAACAAAAAAGACCTTTTTATTTGTATACTGGTCGTGGTCCAAGTAGCGGAAGTCTTCATATAGGCCATCTCATTCCTTTTCTTTTTACTAGATTTCTACAGGACGCATTCAATGTACCTGTTATTATTCAGGTAACGAAATAATTTTTTTTTTTTCAAAATCACTTGCTTTTAATGTAATTTTTGTGATGGTTTCAGAATTTAAATTGCAATATTTTAATATAATTCTCCGTTATTTAGTCGATGCTGACCTATATTTAGGTAACGGACGATGAAAAATTACTGTGGAAAGGTATCACGTTAGACGAAGCGAGAAAAATGGCCAATGAAAATATCAAAGACATTATTGCTTGTGGTTTCAGTCCAGATCAAACATTCATATTTACTAACTCACAATATATGTGGTGATTTTTTGGTATTTTATTTATTTTGTTATCATTTATTTTATTATTGACTCATTCAGTTTTTTAAACTATGTTTTCATATTTGATAAGTATTATGTTATTAAACTGCATCAATTTTTCCTTTATTCCTTTCTCACATTTTTGATCATGGATTTATTTTCAGTCCGGCGTTTTATGGAAATGTCTTAAAGATCTGGAACTTGGTTACGAATAACCAAGTTAGAGGAATATTTGGTATCACTGGCGAAGATTCAATCGGAAAAATTGCTTTTCCAGCTTTGGAAGCAGCACCATGCTTCAGCAATAGTTTTCCTGAAATTTTCAATGGAAGAACGGACATTCCTTGCATCATACCTGCTGCTATAGACCAGGTATGTGGGATTTTTATCAGTCATTTATTCTTATTTTTTTTGGTTTTTTCTTTTCAGGATCCATATTTTCGAATGACAAGAGATGTTGCTCCACGTTTACTTTATCCAAAACCTGCTATGATTTATAGTTCATTTTTGCCTGCACTGCAGGGTGCGCAATCTAAAATGGCTGCTTCTGAAGCGAATTCTTGTATTTATGTGGATGATACACCGAAGCAGATAAAGAATAAGGTATTGTTTCTTCGTTTTGTTCGCTCTGGTATGATTTTTTGAAGGCTGTATTTCGCGCCTTTGATAATAAAATTTTTGCAGATCAACAAATATGCATTTAGTGGTGGAAGGGATACAGTAGAAGAGCATCGTAAGTTTGGCGGAAATTGTGAGGTCGATATATCATTCCAATTTCTTCGATATTTTATGGAAGATGATGATAAGCTTGAAAATATCCGAAAGGTTTCTAAATTCTTCAGTATAGTGAACAAAAACCTTCCGTTCAAAGAAATTTATGCGTTTATTGATAAGCAAAATGAAATTATGTAAAAAAAATGAAAATAATGAATGTTAGAAAAGTTTTCTAACCTCTGACCGTTATCATTGCTGAGGAGATTCTGTTTTTGGATTATCAGGAGTTCATAATTGTCGAACTGCAATGAAAATCTATCAAAAACTGTCGACTGGAAAAGGGAAAATCGAAGGAAAGAGCAAGTCGTAAAAAAAGTCTAATTTTAGTCGTTCATTTTTTACAGTCTTTGGGAGGCAGGAAATAGCGGATTTAAAGTGGTGGTATACTATAAAAGATCAGAAATTGTTTATATCATTTCCGTCAGATTCAGATGTGTACTTTAACTCATTTGAGCCATTTTTATGTATAATAATTTATTTATACAATAATTTCACGACTTTATGGTTGTAATCTTCTGAATTTTACGGGAAATCTTATTTTGCATTATTTTTTTTTTTTTAATTCATTCTCTTTGTTTTAAAGATTCATAGATTTATTATATTTTAGCTGTATACAAGTGGCGATCTTTTATCAGGTGAACTGAAGGCATTAGCAATAAACGAAATTCAAAAAATTATTGGAGAAATACAAACTGAACGGAAGAAAATCAGTGATGAAACGGTGAAAAAATTTGCGGCTGTAAGGAAACTTAAGAATGATTATTAATCGTCTGATTTTGATGTATGTGCTTCTCTTTTAGCAGTTTATGGCCTGTTTCTGAATCTTTTTTTTTTAAAATTTTTCATGATGTAATGAAAAATTCTTATTGTTTATTTAATTTTTATTATTTTGTGTTTTGGTTTTTTTTTTTCGTTAGTTGAGGGAATTTACTTTATCAATTAAAGTTTAAATTAATCGAAAATTTAAAAATTAAAGTTTGTCAAGTCCAGCGAAAGGTCTCAGCTTAAGTAAAGCATCTTTGGTTCGAGGATTACAAAAGCAAATTTATGATTCATCTATGGCCGGAGTCGCTTTCATGGTTCATGATTTTTTTGAGAGTTAATCGTCAAACCTTTAACTTAAGTTGAAAGCGGAGAATGGAGAATCATTGATTATTTCTTCCAGTTTATTCAGTTTTTTTTTATAGATTCGTGAGACTGATAAGGCAAAAACTTAGAATCTGTGATAGAAAAGGTCTTCTGCCGGTTGTCAGATATATGTGGATATGCTAGTTATAAATCTTGATCTATGATTGTTTAAATAAAAGTCAGCTTTATATTGATCTCGATTTACATGCAAATGAGCTCTTTGCTTTTATTTCAGGGTAAGTTTTTAGGTACAGAATTGCTGTGGATTGGTTCGATGAATCGGTGGCTCAGTGCTTCTTGACGCCGAGAATCGAAGCTTGGGTTCAAGTGCGCCGACACCACTTTTCATCGAGCGGCAATGTCGTCTAACGGAGAAGAGCAAATAAGAGTAGATGGCTGGAGGTCAGGGTGTAATTAGTGAGCGGTCGGTTCGTCCAACTGCCCTATAGGAAGATATAGCAAATAACTAGTATTACATATTATTGATTGGTAATCGATTATTGCTTCATATAGGGATCGTAAGCGATGTTTTTTGTATATTTCTTTAAATTTTCTAAAATTTAAAGAATTTTTCTCCTACCATATGCTATTAATAAATGATATCATAAAATAATATAATATTATGCTTATATTCGACAACAGTAAACGTGTCATATCAAAAATATCAAAAATCCGGATGACTGCTTGGGATCCATCTGTAACTCTATCCCAAGTGACTTTGTGGTGAAACGGTCAGATATTTTTGATACGGCGTCGGCGTTTCCCGACGCGCATGATACTCTTTTCCTCTTTTCCATGCGCATTCTGAGGTTCCAAGCTGCTATAGCCAACAAATAACCTCGCATACAGAGAACCCTTAATAAATTTCGAGCAAATACTCTCTAGCTTATAAGCATATCATATTCTTCAGGTCGTTTTACTACCATGAGTTTTTAGTATATTTATCACATCACATGTTAACACCGAGCCGGGAGTATCATGCAGATGCCGTGCTAAAGAGGCCAGACCCTTCCACCATAGAGCCATCTGGAAACAGAGTTACAGGTAAATCTCCAGCAGCTAAGTGGATTTTTGATATCGCGATAGATTTACTCTAGCCGAAGACAAAGAGATAAAAGTTGAGGATGAAAAATAAAATAGAGGACGAAAGGAAAAATAAACTTAAAACAAGTGTCAACATTTTACTCATAAATTGAAGTTAGGCGAAACCTGTGGAAGTCTCGAAAAAAATAGATAAAAATATTAAGTATTTATCGACTGATAAGTAGTGCAAAGCAAATAGTTGTCTCGATCGATTACAATCGATTGATTAATTATGAATCTTATACAATAAATAATTATAAATGATTATAAACAATTTGAACAAATAGCATAAAGAAATTTAGAGAGGTGACTTCTTCGTTTTGACGCAAGAATACGGTATATAGTCGTCATAGTCATAAAGAGGGCTTTGGGAGATTTATAATATACTCTAAGGGATTTGTCAAAGATGTACTGAAAAAAACTGGAGCTCAAAGAAATTCCTCATCCAATTATATGTATAATTATATATATTTTTGTTTGATATATTTTTAATATTGACTTGCCTACTATGCGGTATTTGTTCTGGCAAATAAATATGCAGCCAGCGCTCCCTTAATAACAATTCACTGCGAAATTACTGATATAGAGAACCATTAGATTTGGGTAAATAAATATTTTATAAATAATATATTCAAGATATTACAGACGTAAATATTAACGGTTCGTACATAAATTGGAGCGGCAGGGATCCCAATGGCAAACCTGTGGGAGGGGGAAGGGGAAGGCATTCCTCATTTCCCTAACCCATTTTCCCCACTTTCCCTCCGCTCCCCCATCTTCCCCCACTCTGCCACAAATCCCAAACAACCAAAAGTGGCATCTTGTGAGCTTATATACGGCTTGAGATGAGCGAAAGGAAGATTTTCCTTTCCTTATCTTCTATTTTAAAGAAATGAAAGATGTCCTTACTGTACTTCTTACCAATGGTGCAATCTACTATTGTTCTATAATATTGCCTCTTATCTTTTTCAACCCTCGTCACTTTAACCTTCTCAATGCTCTCGCTGGGAAAAAGGTATATTGCAGGCGTGACGCGATTGACCTGCCCAAATTTATATCTGCCTTCGCCATTCGGCGACGTTATAAATATATCTAAAGGATTCAGTATAAGGAAGATTCATGGTATGTTACCGGTGTGGTATGGCGAAATAACGGGAGCTTAGGAGATACTAGCTGGATAAAACAGGCAGGCTTTGACGGGTTTTCTTGACCGAATCATCTACTAAAGCAATATTAATGTTTGGACAGGATGGTGGATTACTTTGGAGGTGGAGAAGATTAAAAAGAACAGTCGAAGAAGCAGGTGAGAACATTTAAAATTGATAGAAAATTATGAAAAATTCGGCCGACTTTAAAGGAAATAAATTTTTTCTTCCGGACACTCACACTTAAACATTAAAATATAGCAAATTATATAAGCTCTAAATACACATTGAGTACATACAGTATATCTTCATCAATAAAAGAAACGTACAAACTCGTAATGGATAGATGTATAGATGTTTGGTTACTTATGCGCACCTCAAAACCAAAAGACATATGAGTCTAGTATACCTGAGCTATCTGAGGAAAATTTTTTGACAATTCTATAAGGTAAAACGTAAAAAGCGAACGGAGATTAAAAGAGAACAGGAATATTTTGTTACCTTGCCATTTAATTCGCATTCATTTAAAAGACTGAACAAAAGGAAAACAGAAAAGAAAAAAGAAAATTCAGCGAATTTGATCAAACAATGAGTTTCTGCTGGATGACGAAAAAAAATTCTAAAGCAAGCTTAGTGAAAATTTTTGAAGAAAATTAAAAATTTAGGATTTTTGGGTGTATTAAAGAATTGCGAGTGATTGCGGATCTAGCAATATAGTGATTTTGATTTGATTTGATTCAAAAAAAATTTTGGTTAAATCGGCTGAGAAACGAAAAAACTTATGCTAATTATGCTGGTTACGGAAGGATTAGATTCAAGCTAACATTTATGAAAAACGGTTTTTTGTTTTTTTGCACTATTTACCATTGATTATGATGTGATTCATATATATGTATATATATTTACAAAACTTTAATATTTTTAATCTTCTTTTAAAATGACATGCTATATGAATATCGTTTCTCAAAGTATAGTATAAAGATCTCAGACAATACTCGAGATTCCTTTAGATAGTCCTCGCGGTTAAAGCCATAGTTTTCACAGTATACTGTAATATTTTCTCCTTTAATATTAAGGCGTTCATCTTTTCCTAAAATAGATTTGAGTATTTTAAGCCCTAACTAACTTTGAATTATAATGCAGCTACCATTCTTGTCATTAAAACAACTATTTTTTATTTATTTGATAAAAAAGTTTTTTTTACTATTTTCAAATTGAAAAGATTTAACCTATCGTTTTGTAAGAGGCATTTCAACTATTCGGCTGCTTTAACTGCTCTATCAAAATGTAATAATAATAATTATTGATCATTGCAATTCTTCGTTTGGAAACCGCAAACGATAACATATTTTTTTTCAATTTTTTCCTTAAATTTAATTTTTAATTTTTTTAAAATTTTACAGGTTCATCCTTGTTTTCGACAGGAGCAAACCTCTCATGTCAAAAATCCGAGTGGTTGCTGTGGATCCACCTATAACTCTATCCCAAGTGACTTTGTGGTGAAACGGTCAGATATTTTTGATACGGCGTCGGCGTTTCCCGACGCGCATGATACTCTTTTCCTGGTAGCACGTGCAATAAGCATGCAAGCTGGGCGTAAAACGATCCCAAGGTTCATAAATAAAATAAACGCTTCATAAATACGCTTGCAAGCCAGGACAATTGCTCGAAACCCATCGAGGAGAATGGCCCTCTGCATGCGCTGCGAAGTGTCTGCCGTATCAACGTGGAACGTCAGAACGCTTATGGACGTTGCAAGCCAAGCAATCACTATTGATTCTCTTTCTAAATATCGTGTGCATGTCGCCTCTTTCTCGAAGGTCCATCTTCCTCGCTTCGATTCTCGAGTAATTACCGAACCTCACTCTGAGTAGAGGTAATTGCTATATCGTTGTGGTATTTCAGATGACTCGGTGTGAAATGGCGGCGATATCTGAAAAACCCCATCCCGCTTCGATTGAGTGGAAACCGGTAAGCGACCAGTGTGGTCTATGTCCGCTTTAAAGGTAAATTCTGCAATATCTCGGTTAACAGATGTACGCTCCAACTTTGTATGCAGATGATCGTGATCTATGTGGAATCTCAAAATTCCTATTGAAAAATGGCATGATCATAATTGAGGGAGACATAAATTAAATCGAGCATGAAATAGTTTCAGTAATTCAAGTTTTAGGCTAATAAAACCATCAAAAGATGGTCTGCAAACTATCTCTTTGAATGCCGCCCATCGCCTTTCACGACATACCTACAAAAATTATTGTATCACTTTCGAACGAGGCAATTTCTTCCGACCGACAAATCAACTTGCTAGAAATTTTTATAGAAACTCATTCTTTTCTCCTACTGAGTACTCGTAGCAGTGCGTAAAAACAGAACATGCCCTCAAAGTGGATTTAGACTAAAGCTTGAT